TTTCACAAGTTAAATTGAGTGTATGATGATAGGACTCAATTGTATTTGCAAGGCATATGCTAGGTGCTATCAGGCAAAGAAATGAATCTAAAACCCCTGCCCTCACATAACCTATCATCCAGTTGGGAAAGATTGGTTCATCCTCTGAAAATCATAGATAACAGTTAAACAGGAAACCATCAGAACTGTCAGACATGTGATACTAAGTGCTACAGACATTCAAAGGAAGAAGAAATTGCTATAGTGTAGGGTGGGCTCAAAAGGCTTTCATGGAGAAATTTAAACTGGCTCTTGAGATATTGATTACATTCTTTCCTAAGATGGGCTGACCAAGAACCAACCAGTGTTCCACACAAAACAGACCCAGTCATCTAAGCATACAACAGTATTTTCTATTATGTCTCCACTATCCCTCTTGAAAGTGCCAAATAACTCACTGGCCAACTCTGTCCACGGTACTATGTTAAGCCAAGGTCCCAGGGTAACCATATGCCACAGTTTGAGTTCTACTTGGTTACCAAAGCTTAAACTAAACCTTAATATTACTGTTAGGCTAAAACAGAGTACTATACAACTAAGAACAACATGGTAACTGCTTCTTTACAACCACGGAGACTCTTATGTGAGCATTTAACCTGACCTTCCTGACAAATTATTCATACCATGAGTACTCTGATCCGTTTTTGCAAACCCTAAGTCATTACTTGGATGGTCTCACACAAGCCTGTGTTAAAACTAAACTTGTCTGTTTCTCTTTCTTGCAGAGTCCTATGACCTCCTCTAAGTCTCCCTGCCCATTTTGACACTGTCTCCACTCTCAGGACTCAAGGTGACCGAGCACAGGCCCTGGATGTGGGCCCTGAGCCACATGGCACCGTGAATGAATGCGAGGGAGCCAGTGCTTAGTTACACATCCTGACACAGCTCTCATCCCTGGCTAGCTCCACTCACCCGTCACTGGGCTTTTTCAGAAGAGGAGGGAGTAAGAGGCAAAGAAAAAAGGACCCAGAATCTGATCCAAGGCCAGCTGGAATAAGGGTCAATTGGAAGAGAGACCAGGCACAGATATTGAAATAGCTAGCCCTGATTCACATGGGAAGCAGCTTAATAAATCAACATAACAGAGTACAGTTCCAAAATTCAGATGCTGGCCAATTTCTCCAGGTCTGAAGGACATTTCTGACTTTTCCTTTAGGGGATGGCATGAGCATAAGTCAGAAATACCAAGTTCAAATCCTGATTTGAACTTTAGTTTCTTCGTCTTTAAAGGGAGCCAGTCAGACTAGATGACTTTTATAACTAGATGACTAATGATTTTAAAGGCGGGAGCACCACAAGTCTGAGAAAAATCAAAAGCAAACGTCAGAGTCAGAATAGAAGGGACAATGGCTGTGGGGTGGGGGCGGGAACGCCTGGGTGGCTCAGTCCGTTAAGCATCCTGCCCTTGGGCGCCTGGGTGGCTCAGTTGGTTAGGCGACTGCTTTCGGCTCAGGTCATGATCCTGGAGTCCCGGGATCGAGTCCCGCATCGGGCTCCCCGCTCAGTGGGGAGTCTGCTTCTCCCTCTGACCCTCTTCCCTCTTGTGCTCTCTATCTCTCATTCTCTCTCTCTCTCTCTCTCTCTCAAATAAATAAATAAAATTAAAAAAAAAAAAAAAAGCATCCTGCCCTTGATTTCCGCTCAAGTCATCATCTCATGGTCATGGATCTAGCCCCCACGTCAGGCTCTGCGCTCAGTGTGGAGTCGGCTTGTCCCTCTCTCTCTGCTCCTTCCCCCAAGTGTGCATGTCCTCTCGAATAAATAAAATATTAAAAAAAAAAAGAAGGGACAATGGGCCTGGAGAGCCTCTGGAAGATGATGATCAGAAAGTTCCCCCCAAAAGATAACAGACTGGGGAAAACCCAGAATTGCTCTGTAAGAATATCTTATAGATTTCTTCCTTCTAGGTTCTGCCTTATAGTCAAACATAGATCCATCTCTTCCCAGAACAGCTAAGAGTGATGCTTCATAGAATGGACATACCCACAGATATTATCCCACACGGTCTACCTGGAAGGGGTGGTAGGTAACTCAACCTTAACTACCTAAGAGAAATGAAAAGATCTCAAGGAGTGCACACCCTGACCTCAGTAACTCAGACAACTATCTCATCATCATTCGGAGTCTCAAACTTCCTTAATGCACAGCCTTAAAAACCTGAGTGAAGTTTTACAGTCTCTAGCTCTGTTTTATAGTCCCCAAAGTTTTACCAACACCCAACACGTTCTAAAGGCTCTCAGATACATTATTCTGTTATAAAATCGTAACTAGAGTTCAAGATGGCATTAAATATTTAAATAGCACTGTAGAAAATTTAACCCACAGAAATCTATGGCAGTTTCTCTAATAGTGCATTCATCCGATATTCCCGCATATCTTCACTTCTCCTGCCTCAATAAAGTCCCTTGTTCAGCCTATTTAGTTTATCAGTCTAATTAAGACCAATTAAAGTTAGATTCCTTGGAACATGGGTTTCATAAATGTGACTAAGACTAAGATTATCAATTACCCCACCTACAATAAACTTTGACTTTGCTCTTTGGCAGTCAGACTCAGAATGGTTAACACCTGTCCAGTAGCTGGCACACAGTAGGAATTCAATTAGTGCTTCTCAATGTATCACCACTAACAGTCACCGCTTAGTCAGCAAATCCCCAGGCCAGGCAGGAATTAAGCATTGTGCATGTGGTCTCTTACTCCTCACAACTACCTAATTAAATATCTCCATTTTACAGATAAAGAAATTACAGCTTAAAATAAATTAACAGCTGCTACATGGCCCAGAAAGAATTTGGGCTCAGGTGTGTGTGTGTGTGTCTCTCTCTCTCTCTCTCTCTCTCTCTCTCTCTCATCAGTTCCCCGCTGAACTTTTCCACAGAGTGCAGAGTTTAGGACACTGGACCAGAAGTTGTGGGGTCTCAACTCACTGGCTGTTATTTACACCCACATCCGTTACAGACAAAGGTGACAACTGATGTGATTACGGCTTGTGTGCGTTGGTTCTCCTGGGAGGGCCAAAGCTGCTCCTGAAGCTGGAACACTTTACCAAAAGAAGGGGACGGGACAGAATTTAACATAAACCACAGCCTCCTACAGTGTGGTTACTGCCACACTCTTAAGCTCTAGGGAAAGATACACTCCTGGGTCTGATTAGCCACTCCCCTCTGTCAGCCTCCTAAGCAGAGCATTTCTAGAAGGCAGCAGACTCCAATGACAGGCTTATTCTTACCCACAGGATCACTTGCAGTGGCAATAATAGCAGTAACAAGTTTTAGCAAGCATGCTGCTTAGTGACAGAGATTCCTGGCTAGCATCACATTTTACAAGTCTCCATCCCAAAGATATTTTCTTGGCCCAGTACATCCCCTTCACAATGTTGGCTTGAACAACTATTCCAAGGAAGCCATCACCTTCAGCAGGCATCAGGTGCAAGGGAATACCAGGCTGAATGTCTTCCCTCTGCAGGCCCACAACCACTGCAGCTTTAACCAGTTCAAATTCTCCACGTGGGTGGATGCACATTTACACACCCCTAAGTATTCAGAGACACTAAACGTCATCCATTAACTGAGGTAACACTAACCACCTTTCATTTCAGATTTACAGCTTAACAATTATTTCTCCCTAGAGAAGGCAGAGCATAAACAGCTAGCCAGCCCGGCGGACCACCAGCCCTCAGTCTCCCCACCCCCAACGAATTTCTTTGCTTCACTAGCAGGTGTTACCAGAAAAATCTGACATTAAGATTCACCAATTCCAAAGTTGTTAATTGCAGAAATCAAGAGGTTTCCTCCAACTCTAAATCCCATTCAACCCTCATAAACACAAAGTCCTCTCTTTACGTGGCTGCACTTTGCTTTCTCTGGTCTGTTGGTCCCGGAAGGACCTCGGTTCAACTAAAAGCCTTAGGGGAGGAGGGAACTTCGGTGAGTTTATTTTTCAGTAGCACAGATCAAGACGAAGGCCTACAGCGATTATGACGGACTAAGCTCCCAAACCCTCTCTAGCCTAAAGAGTTTGATCATATGGGAACCAAAGACTGTCTAAGAGAGAAAAAGAGAAGCTAAGCAGTGCCAGTCTCTCCACTTTCTCCCGGGAGGAACACAGCTATACTATTGGGGCAGGGGGGGGGGGGAGGTAGTGATCTTCCAAACTGTGTTTGGAAAGCCCCAGCCCAGATCGGATATTTTGCTTTAACCCCTCGGCTTGGGCCTGCCCAATGCAAGGGCCCAAAGGGTCTTTGGGTACCGCTGGGAGGGGGAACCGAGCACACCACTCACAGGGTCTTGTTTTCTCAGCTTATCTAGTCATGCGAACAGGTGCTTGGTCAATTCCATCTTTAAAAAGGGGGGGGGGAAGGGGTATGTAAGAGTAGCTCCCACAGGAGCGCCCGCCGTGCGGGGAAAGCCACGCAGGACAGGATGAAAAGTGGCTCTCCAACTTCTGCGGGGCTCCCGAGTCTGCGGGGAAGCCGGGTGTTGCGTGAGGTTGGGAAAGGCCTGGATCTTCCGGAACAACGCTCGCAGCAAGCCCACAGCAGCGACACGGCGACCCTACCCCCCAGGGTCACCCCCCACCCCGCGCCCCAAACACACACGTGAAGCTCAGCAAAGCGTGCCACCTGCTGGGTTCCCAGCAAACATGCCCGAAGGGAAGGACGGCCGGAAAACACTTTGTTTAAAAAGAAAAAAAAAGTAAACTCTCCCGGGGCCGAGAACAGCCCCGCCTGGCACGGGGGCCGCGGTCTGCGGGGCTCGGCCCCGGGTCCTCCGGTTTCTAGGGCTGAATGGGGGGAGGCGCCGCGACGGGTTGCGCGGCTGGTCGCGCTTCCCCGGGGGCCGGCGGAGTCCCGGGCAGGGCAGCGGCACCGGCAGGGCCGGCGGGCGGGAACGCGGCGCGCCCTCGCCCCTGCTCGCGCGCGGGCCGGCGCCCTGGCGGGGGTGGGAAGTCGGGGAACTTACAGCCGCCTGTCCTCAGGCTCCAGCTGCCGGTGCATGGCCAGCGAGAAGCCGAAGAGGCTCCCGGGGTCCCCCGTTTTCCGGATCACATTGTCCTCGCGGGTGTCCAAGTTGAAGGCGGCGCCGAGCCGAGGCAGGAGCCACGCCGACAGGTAAAGCAGCCACAGCTGCCCCGCGGCCGCCATGGGCGGACGCACCGGGATGGGGAGCGGGAGCCGCGGCGGCCGCCCTGCACTCCGGGCCGGGTTCGAGGCTGCCGCGCTGCTGCTGCCGCCGCCGCCGCCGCGGCCACCTTCGTCTCCTCTGGCCACCGCGCCGGCCCCACCCCCGGGACGAGTCGCGCTAGCCGCCCGGCCGCTCCCCCTCGCGGGCAGCTCCCGACCGCTGAATGAGCCCGTTGTTCTCTGGAGACTCACAGGCGTTTTATCAAGTGACGAGGACGCCGGCCCGGCCCCTCCCCTCCCCTCCCCAGCCCTCCCCACCCCTCCCCTCCCCTCCCCACCCCTCAGGCCCCTCCTCGCGCGCCGGCCGCCCGGCACCGCTGCCTGCACCTTCCCCGCCGGCCTGGCTGCGCGGCGTCCCGGCGCTGCCCCTCCCCGGCCAGCCGCTCGCCTGTCCCGCCGCCGCCTACCTGGCCGCGAAGCAGGCGTGGGAGACCGGGGTGCTCCGGGGAGGCGAACTCCCGGCCCAGCAGCCCCATCCTGGGGGTCCTCCGGGAAAGAAGCATTGGAATTGTGGTTGCCATTCGGCGCAAAGCCGCGTTCACTACCTGTTCGCAAGGAGAAGTACTGGTGATGCGCCGGCCCCGATCTCCTTAAGCAGCGGATTCTCACCAACCGAAGCCCACGTGCAAATGCTCGCTTCATTCAGTCCACAAGTGCTTCTGGAGCGCTTAACGCTTGCCAGATACTTGGGGAAGGGAGCTGTATGGATTGTTTTCAGCCCTCAAAGAACTAACCGTCAAAAATGATAATATCCCAAACTCTAATAGTGCTGTACAATTTATATAGCTCATTTCATAGCTCATTTAGCCCTCCTAACAATCCGCAGATTAGAAAACTGAAGCTCAGCCTTGACCCTGAGCACCCAGGGATCCGCCCCGGTGAAAAGGAGAGCTTTTGGGAGAAGTCACACCGGTGTCGGCAATTTAAAACTTGGTTTCTAGGTGCTCTGAAGCGGAGAAGCAGCTCCTCAACAGTGAAGGATGGGTGTGTAAGGTGGTACCTACGAGCTCAGGAGCCCTTCTTTCCTGCCCCCAAATTCCCAGAACTAGATCCTCGCTAAGAGGCAGCTCGGAGCTCTGTGTGGGTGGCCTAAAGGCTCCTGCCTCCAGAGCATGGGGTGGGGCCTCCAGTGTGGTGTTGACCTCCAGGGCAACTTTATTGGCAGGGGGGTCTTAAGCAGGGGAGAGAGAATTCAGGGTTACTGTGAAATTGGGGTGACAAAAAATTTTACTTTTTTATTTTTATTAACCTCTGACATTTAGCCCTTCCTTCCATTATGAATGGAGACAACACACCACAGTGGCAGTAGGATAAGTACCTATGACTTAGTCTCCAGTAAAACCCATAGATTTGTTTGTTTTTTACATCACAGTATAGTTGTTGCAATATCTTCAATTACAGTAGTTGTTAGGTAGACCCTCCGCTAGACCTTGTTATGCAATAGGCCAATTAAAAAGTGTATATATTGCTGCAACAGTTTTTTTTTAAATATTTTGTTAACTATTTCAAAATAATTGGTTTCCTTTGCAATCCCATGTACTTTATGCTTTTAAAAACCTTGCTCTGAAAGGGGATTCATGGTCTTTGGCAGCCTGACAAAAGGGGGTCCCATGGCATTAAAAAAGTTTAAGAAGTGCTAGCCTGAAGGCTCCTGGAATGCCTTGGGGAGCCTGCCTTGGTATCTGATATCCCTGCATTTGAAACAGAAGCAGAGTACAGTCCCAGGGAAGACCTGGAGTTCCGTGTGTGCACGTGGGGATAGGGATGGGGGTGCCCTTCCCCTAAAGGCATATTTGTACCAAGGGAGTGGCCCACACCGCACAAAAATGCTGCCTGAACGTCATCAAGGGTCCTCGGGTGGTAACAGCTTCCAGAGCAAGTCCCTCAGCATAGGAGGGGTAGGTCCCACTTGTCTACCAATCCATAACGCCAGTCAAGTACAGGCAGAAGTGGGGTGCAGTGAGTTCAAATCAGTAGACAATGTGGGAGATCACACTGTTTCCACAAATGTGTAATAACCTTGATAAGATTGTGAAACTGTTGGAAACTAATCGAGTAAGCTAAGAAACATCTGTATTATGATTTTTCATGCAAGATAGCTTTTTTTCTTCATGTTGAGCACATAACTATTCCAGAGAAACAGGCCCAAGCTATTAGAGCACAGTGAGCCTCACTGCCGGCCGGGACCCAGTGGGAGCCACTGACATGGCTGTAGGGTTGCTGAAATACTGCTTGATAAAAGCTCTGCCCTGAGCTCCCCCGGTTCGACTGCCCCCACCCTGGCCACTTTCCTAGGACTCACCAGCCTCCGCACAATAAAGCAACTAAAGGTTTAAGCCCATAAGCCTTTGTGCTGCAAGGTTGGGTATGTCCGTGTCATAGCACCTGTTAATGATACAGAATATGAATATCACTCCTTGCATCCAAGGGTAATTCTGTGCACCATTCACTGCTTCCTTCCCAAGATATGTTTATGAGATGACATTTGAATAGCCAGTTACCTATTTGATCCCAAATATTGATTGTGCTCAAATTGACATTTTCAATAATGTGAAATTTAAAACAGCAACTAACTATAGGGTGCTACTGAATTGATTGGGAAAAGGAAGAGATAAAGAAAAATAAGGATGAGAGAGTTGTACTGGAGTGTTCCGAGTGCCCATCACCGATGGAAAACGTTCAAACACACTCCTACCTTTCACCTATCTCCTGCCTAGGATGCCAAACATACTTGCAGCTGAATCAAACTCAGACTTTTAACAGTAATCTCTTTGAAGACTGTCAGCTTTTCCTGATTAACTGTAACAGTCAAGTTTTGTGAATCAGTTGTCATTTCCATGGTAAATAGGGTTAGGCTAATATAGGAGAGCAATATCTTATGAAAGGGAGTTGTAGAGGTCCTTCAAGATCTGCTGAGGATATTGTCAGTGTCTGGGGCTGAAGAAATGAAAGGAGCAAGAAATCTAAAAATTGTGAGGTCAAGACCTGGGGAGGGAAGTACATAGTTTTAATGAAAAAAAATGAATCTGGGACAAGAAGATACTTGTCTGGAACGAAACAGAGAAAGTTAGCTTGTTGATAAAGGTGTGCTGACTCTACGGGGCATGGCGTGCCTGCGTGCGTGCGTGTGTGTGTGTGTGTGTGTGTGTGTGTGTACACACACATTGCAAGAAGGGCTCTACAGATCCAGTTATGAAAAAATCATGTCATGTTCCAAAAAAGGCTGATTGGAAAACAAACAGGAATACCTAAGAATATGATTATGAAATCATAGAAGATACTTCTACAAACTGAAAAATTTAAATAAAAAGGGCAGTGGAAGCTTTGAATAGATATTTACTCAGAGGAGAGCTTTTGAATTATATTTTACCAATACACTTTTCAAAAGAAAATTATTTGTTCTATATCCCACCTTTGGTAGGGGAGCTTTCAAATAATTTTAAACTGTTGGTCACCTGCAGAGAAGTCAAAGAAACTCATGTCATGCCTGAAATACTTTCCATTTCCTGGGACCTACTGTAATCATTTTGCTATCAAGTTCACTGCTGTACTGACTTCATCATCACCAATAGCAGAGAATATCATATTTGCTGCTTTTTAGGCAACATGGGAACTAGCTATGGAAAACTTCTCTTTATTCTCTTTTTGTGGTTGCATTATACTGATGGTTTTACATATTCTCTAGAGCACATGATCTGTGGAACCCAAGACCCTTGCTCTAAATTCTGCTTCTGTTCCAGCCTGGCCCGATGACCTTAAATCATTTAATCTCTCTCTGCCTGCATTTCCCCAGCTATGAAGTAGGGATAAGGAGAGCATCTACCCCCAAAGAACTGCCTTGCCTTAAGGATTAGTAAAGTTAACAGGATCTGAAGCACTTGAAATGTTGTATTAAAATCAGAATTTCCACTTGTGTACAGACTTTCAGAATCTGACTTTCACAAGTTAGGCATTGACCCATGATAAACATACAGTTTTGTGAACTAGACATATGTAGTAAACTTTTCCAATAGGGATTGTACTATTCGATGCCAGATTTTATGTTTCAGAAAAAGAAAAAGAGTTTTCCATTTTACTCTTTTGTCTCTTTATACAAGTGGTCAGGGGTTTGCCTTCCTCACTGAACCTTACTGCTTTTTGTTTGACATTTCATTTGCTCTAAGTCACAGTACATTTTATAGGGGCAAACCTGCCTCTGGCTGGAATCAGGAGAATCCAAATTGCTAGCTATACCTTAGTTTAAGACCCAGATCTATTTCTTCTGGTTTTATTGAAAGATAATTGACATATAGCATTGTATAAGTTTAAGGCATACAATATGATTATATATATATATATATAGTGAAATAATCACAATAAGTTTAGTTAACCCCTGCCACTTCACAGTTCAATTTTTTCCTTGTGATGAGAACTTTTGAGATGTACTTTTTTAGCAACTTTTAAATATAAAATACAGTATCATTATCTATAGTCAGCATGCTGTGCATTAAATCCCCAGGACTTATTTATGTTATTAACTGGAAGTTTGTACTTTGGACAACCCCCCTTCCCAACCTCTACTTGTGGTAACCACCAATCTGTTCTGTTTCTGTGAGTTTGGGGTTTGGGAGATTTTTTAGATTTTACATATAAGTGAGATGTTACAATATTTGTCTTTCTCAGTCTGACTTATTTCACTTAGTATGATGTCCTCAAGTTTCATCCATGTTGTCACAAATGGCAGGATTTCCTTCTTTTTATGGCTGAGTAAAAATGGCTGAGTAATATTCTGCTGTATGTATGTATATAAATACTCACACCATGTTTTCATTATCAATTAATCCATCAGTGGACATTAAGGTTGTTCACCCAGATATATTTTAAAGTAAATTTCAGGGCACCTGGGTGGCTCCATTGGTTAAGTATCTGCCTTTGATTCAGGTCGTGATCCCAGGGTCCTGGGATTGAGCCCCACATTGGGCTCCCTACACAGTGGGGAGTCTGCTTCTCCCTCTCCCTCTGCCTGCCGCTCTTACTGCTTGTGCTCTCTCTCTCTCTCGCTCTCTCTGTGTGTGTCAAATAAATAAAATCTTTTTAAAAAATAAAGTAAATTTCATTTGAGTATTTCTAATT